TTTATTCTCTTCTGTTTTTTTTTTCATATAGAATATTGTAAGAGTTATTCTCTTCTGTTTTTTTTCATATAGAATATTGTAAGAGTTCTCTCTCCTTACATACAAGTCACTGAAAAGTTGCATTTAGGATTCTAATCCTATTTCTGTCGCCTTTTACTTCTGGTTCTCTGTCATTTTAAGAGTGTTTAGGTTTTAAGTGTTTTCTTAATCATTCATAGAACCATTTTGTTGGTTTTCATTTGATTACAGGAATAGGGATTCTTCCCTGATAATAACCAAAATTGTGTTGGGTGGGCTCCACCTGTACAAGGCTGCTGTTAAGACCTAAAGCAGATTAAAGATTTCCTTCCATGACTTTTGAGGTGCATGTGACTTTGTCACATTGTGTACAAGCAGCACACACCCCAACATTGCAGAAGGAAGACTTTAATCCATGGCAATCAGTCACTGCCAATGAAATCATTTCCACTGCACAGACAAGGCCATAGAGCAGGATTTCAGCCAATATACAGTATCTGGTTTTAGTGCCCAGTTCTTCTGATTCATGATCAGGTGAGTCAATGGTTTCTGATTCATGGTAATTTCACCCCTTTAGGTACAGCTGTATATATTGTTGATTGTAATAAGAACTATGTGACATCAGGTCAATTCTTACTTTTAGCAACTTTTTCCAGAGGGTTCCAGGTATCCCTGGGACTGTGCATTTTCCCCAAGACTACACAGGCTCACTTTCTCCTGGGAGGTACAGTGGGAAATCAAATTCCCAACCCCTGCCTCCACAGCCAAGTACCCAATTCACTGTGTTATGTAGCTAGTGAACATAGACTTATGTTTACAGATCACAAACGTAGATATTTGCTTCCAGTATTCAGCAGAAGTCATAAAGTTATGGGGACCACTTGCTAAGAAAGACTTCTGAAAACCTTACCATTATGTTCTGTCCAAGGCTGGATTCTGCTAGAGAAGGCTATGAGCAAGGAACATCGTCACCACCTCTCTCTGTGTTCCCCAACCAGTTTATGGCTTTCTTTTTAACAACTGCTTATAGTGCTTATGATATTCATAGCACTTGGTGAAACACCCTAAATTAAAGCTATGTTCTGTTGATCTTTATCTAGCATTTCAACAACATGGACACAGATGAAAAAAAATACTTGAAATATAATGGATTGAAATGCATTGTTGTAGTTCATTTCAGCCAAAATTACTGCAAACAATATACCGAGCAAACACCAAGTCACCATGCGGAGCTCCCTTCGACTTGATGCCCAAGGTAAACACCCAGTGAATACGCCTTAGCCTACCCGCACTTCATATCAGTCAGTCAACCATTTTGTTGAACTATCCAAGAAAAGAGTTCTTCTCCTCAGCTTCCAGTGCCACCATCTGCTTAAATCAGAGGCTGTTAAGTGTTGTATGAATCTGACTGAGTGTGATAATTGTTGCCTGCTCTGCAACCTCCTTTACATCCAGTTTTTTCACCATCTGTGACCACACGGCACTGAGGTCAGAAGAATTACCAATTTAATTTCCAGAATCATGTTCCCCACATGAAAAGGAAAGGGAGTACAAAACTGGTAAGCCACTGTTTCATTTATTCAGTAAAACGTCAGCTCATTAAACGGATGGGTTGCTGACAATGACATTGAACATTCCAAATTCTCACCACCTGTCTTTGAAATGGAATAAGTGGGGAAAAAACCTATTCTGTGGAAATGAACCATATTATCTTTTTTATCTAATCATATTGTCTTCGCTTTCAAATATAAGACATCTAAGTGGATTTTCATCCACAGCCAATTCAATGAAAAATAAACAACCTACACCAATGTAATATTTCATATTATTTCAGTTTCAACATAATAGCTATAATCTGGTTGTGCTCCCCAGGAACAACAGTGATGATGTCAGAAGCAGTGGAAAATTGTCACTAATTAAAGACTTCCTTCTGTGATTTCGGGGTGCACACAAACGTGTCGTATTGTGTAAAACTCATGTCCATCCCAAAATCACTTTTAATCAACTGCAGTTTGCCTCTGTTAATGACATTATCACCCTTGGGTATGCAGAGCTATGCAATGTTGTTGTTTAGTTGTTAAGTTGTGTCTGACTGTACGTGACCCCATGGACCAGAACACGCCAGACCCTCCTGTCTTCCATTGCCTCCCAGAGTTTGGTCAAATTCATGTTGGTAGCTTCAGTGACACCGTCCAACCATCTCATCCTCTGTCGCCCCCTTCTCCTCTTGCCTTCACACTTTCCCAACAT